CCTTTCTATCTATTTGAACTCCTTTATGTCTCCTTCCTACCTGTTTGGTTTGTTTGTTGTTTCTTTGTTTGATACTAGGGATTGAACTCAGGGGTGCTTAACCACGAGTCTCATCCTCGACTCCTTTTTATGTTTTATTTAGAAACAGGGTGTTGGGCTGGGGATATGGCTCAAGCGGTAGCGCGCTCGCCTCACATGTGTGCGGCCTGGGTTCGATCCTCAGCACCACATACAAACAAAGAAGTTTGTGTCTGCTGAAAACTAAAAAATAAATATTAAAAAAAAATTTTTTTCTCTCTCTCTCTTAAAAAAAGAAAGAAAGAAAGAAAAAAGAAACAGGGTCTCCCTAGGTTGCTCAGGTCTTGCTAAGTTTCTGAGGCTGGCTTTGAACTTGAGATCCTCCTGCTTCAGCCTCCTGAGCTTCTAGGGTTACGGGTGTGACCCACTGTGCCTGGCCCTCTACCTGTTTCTGATTTCTTGTGTCCTACCTYACAGGGAAGCCTGCAAGGTACCTTCCTTCTCTGAGTCAGGCGGTTCTTCTCTCTCTCAGTTTCTTTGCCTGCCCCACTCTCCTGCTGATCTCCGATCTCTGAAGATCTGTTTTCATTTACAAACATATCATTCCCTACATATGTATGTATGCTTGTAGTATGTGTGTGTATATGTATGCATGTATGTAGTGTGTATACACACACGTAAGTATATATTATATGTAAAGTTTGGAGAATAATAATAAATGCCCATTTACCCACCACCACTTTTAAAAAATAGAACATTGGGGCTGGGAATGGGCATGTTGGTAGAGTGCTTCCCTAATRTATAAGGGCCCTGGGTTCCATCCCAAGCACCACACATACACACACACACATATACACACACGCGMGCRCACACAATCATTCAAACAATTTTGACAGCCTTAAGACCCTTCATGATTACATTCTCACATCCTTTTCCGTCCAGGGGTAACCAATATCAGTTTATCACTTGCTTTTCCTGTGSTCTTGCCACATGTATTTCTCCTTTGAAAAAGTCTATTTCTTCTTTTTGTAATACTGGAGATTGAACCAGGGGGGCCCAGCTATATGCCCGGTCCTTTTTATTTTTATTTTTAAAATTTTGAGTCTTGCTAAATGGCTAAGGCTGGCTTCCTGTGATCCTCCTGCCTCAGCCTCCTGAGTTACTAGGATTGTAGGAGTGCGTTACCACTCCCTGCGGTTTCTTTTCTTTTTGACTTTGGCACTCAGTCTTGTTTGTGAAAATCCCCATTTGATGGGTTTAGCTTTGTCTATGCTGTTTGGCTTCTCATAGCCCTCCATCATAGGGATGTGCCACATTGTACCATGTTGCTGTTGCTGGGTGCCTGTGCTGTTTCTGACTTGCTTACAGTCGTGCTACCAAGATCCTCCTGTTTCTGTCTGATGCACAGAAGCTTCTCTGCTGTGCATTACCCAGGAGTGCAAGTACTGGGTCATGAGTTAGTTATCACAACTCTAGTTTTATAATTGTTTGCTAACAGGGCTTCCCCGGTTTATACTCAACTCTTGGCAGGGGACAGTTCCTCTTGCTCCCCACTCTTATTGACTGACACCATGTCATCAGATTAAAAATCGCTTGCCTACCTGCTGCGTGGAAATGGCTCTCGCTGTCACGTGTATTTTCTAGGGAAAGAGAGAGAGTTGCTCACAGAGCCGAGGCATCTGTCTCCACGGGCAGCATAATGGCAGGACCCCCAGCTTTGTTCAGGATGGGGAAGGACAGCAGCAGGAAAGGAGGGGGACTGCCTCAGAATCCCTGCGCTTCCTGCGAAGCTCCAGCCCAAGTGTCCTCACCACTCTGCTCCTGTCCTTCCTCCCAGGATGTCACCAGGGCTTGCTCATCGGCCAGCCTCTCAGGCCTCTCTGAGCCCACGCCTTGCACTGAGATGAGCTCACTGGAATGCCCGGAGCCCATGACCGCATGAGCTTGTGGGCAGGCCCAGCAGCCTCCGTGGGAAATGCCGGCACCTCACTCGCCCAGGCTGTCTGGAGGGAAGAAAATYCCACACAGTCCAACTGGACTTCACATCTTCTCTGTGAACCAAAGTGGGAGGGACAACAGCCAGAGGCTTTGGAGGGGAGCCTGGGATGATTGAGGGCAGGAGGACAGCCTGTGGTCCCCTATCACCTCGGGGACCCAAAACCATTCCTGGAGGCTTTTCTGCCTGAATTTCAGCTCTGTGGAGAGGGGTGGGGGTTTGAGAGCTCAGGACCCAGTTCTTCCACTTCCAGCTGGGTGACTTTGGATAGGTGACATCACCTCTCTGAGCATCCATTGGCCCATTTATAAGTTGGGGACCATTTTGCCCCCTTGACAGGTTGGGTGACTCTTCGTCCCAGGACTGACTCAGTGCCTGGACCCATAGCAAGAGTTTCACAAAAAAAAATATATTATCTTTCAAATTTTGGGATATGTTTTGGGGTTGATAGCTTAGAATTAGTTTTCTTACATTGAAGCTTTATCCCTTCTCCAGGAGGATATATCTTTAAGATGAAGCACCCACAAGATTGAGAAATGGGAGAGAATATCACATTGCAGATTTAGCTTCTGAATGTTTTCAAATCAATCCATCCAGACAGACTGACCTTCCTAACAAAGCCCTGAGCTGAACTCAGGGGGTACAACAGTAATGATTCTTGACATTGCTCAGCTCTTTACTGGGTACCCAGGACCGGCCTTGCCAGGAGCAGTGTAAGTTCCCAGCATCCCTGGGAGGCAGGTTGGGTGGCCACTGTTTGGCCACTGTTCAGGGAAGGAAACCTGAGACTCAGAGAGGAGAAGGGATTTTCCCAAGGCTGCACAGTAAGTCTGGAGAGCAGAGATTAGAGCCCAGGCGGTCCCAGCCCAAACCAGACTTTCCCTGTGCCCTGCTGCCTCCCCAGCCCTGCCCTGTCCCTTCCCTGCACCAGCTGGGTCCTGAGTCTCAGCTCTTTTGGCTTCTCTGCTCTTTACACTTCAGCCAGCATGGTCATTTGGCCAGACCTGGCCCTTTCTGACTTCTGGGGCTTTGCTCTTGCCCCTTTAACTATCAGGAATGCTAGCCTTCCCAGACTTTTCCTGAATTTAGCCAGGAACAAGATGTTGTTCTTAAGAATGAGGTGAGGCTGGACATGGTGGCGCATGACTGCAATCCCAGCAATTTAGGAGGCTGAGGCAGGAGATCACAAGTTCAAGGGCAGCCTGGGCAATTTAGGAAGACTGTGTAAAAATTAAAATATATATATATATAAAAATAAAAAATAAAAACATCTGGAAATGTAGCTCAGTGGTAAAGTGCCTCTGTTCAATCCCCATTATCARGGGGTAAAAAAGAAAAGGATGATGTGGTGGGAGTGGGTGATGGATGGAATCTTTGAGATACGTGGTTGAAAAATATTCAAACTATGAAACAAATTCATATATAATCCTAATGATCAAATGTTTTCAAGTGTGTGTAGATAAATTCTAAAGTGGTCAAGCATTCCTGGGTTAAATCCCTAGTACCCAACCGGCCCCAAAAAAATTCAAATGTATTTTCTGGACTTGAACTTTCATCACAAAAATGCCCAGGGATTTAAATGTTTGCAGTTCACGTCTTTGCTTAACAAAAAAGTATTCTGTTATTTTTTTGACTGTTTATTTGTTTGTTCTAAGGGTCATTCATGCTCCTCCAGAAAATTTGGAAAATTCAAATGAATATAAAAAATGTCACCCCCCCCCCCACACACACACACACACATACACTCCCTTGGGAAATACATTGTGGCGAGCTGGTGTTTTTTCTGGTGGCTTTTGTTTCTCTCCCTGTCACAGTTTGRTTTGGCTTGTTTTCATTGCTGAGTAAATAGAAGGATGTTTTCTGATTCTTTCTGATTCATGATTTACAGAACTGATTTCTCATACTTGCAACAAGCCTGCGATACTTCCAGCTCTGTGATACCTTGTCCCCTGTGGGAATCCTGGGGGTGGGCATATCACCCTCTGCTCTGACACCTTTGAAAAGGCAGTTTCAGGTCACTGTTGCCAGCCTTAGAGACAGTGTCCTTCTACCTGATAATTTCAGCTTTCAGAATTGTCCTTCTAGAACCTAACTCTTCACTTCTTTCTTTTTTAAAGCCCAGAGCTCCTGAACATGCGGCCCTCAGGATGAACCCACAGTGATCCGTGTGTTTCGCCACTTCCTGCTCCTGCATTCTTCTGTCCTGGTAACAGGAATGTTCTGTCTGTTCAGGCTCAAAACATTCAGTGGAACCAGAACCAAAGCTAAGCGTCCCTCAGGATGTGTCAAGATCAATCTGGGGGAACCGAACGGCTGATTTACTGTCTCTCTGACTCAGCGGATGCTTCTTTTTGAGTCTAGTTTTAAAAACTCCAGAACCTTCTCTGATCAGGGATGGGGAAATTTTGAAGCTTTTATTCAACACATTGATGTCTCCAGCTTTGAAAAGAGCCAAAATGCCAAAAGCCAGAATCCCAGAGCCCTGCCCACACTTCTGTGAGACCCTGATCATTGTCTAACAAATTCAGCATGTGTCCACTGGGCTGCACCATCTGCTGGGCAAAGTTCCAGAATGGCCAGACATGTCAGGATTCATCTGTTTTAGGAAAGACCTATAACTACCAGCTAGGAGTCGATTTGGTTTTTCTTTCTTTATTTTTTGGTTCTGGGGTTGAAGCCAGGGGTGCTTAACCACTGAGCCACACCCCCAGCCCTTTTAATTTATTTTTTATTTTGAGACAGGATCTCACTCAGTTGTTTAGGGCCTCACTAAGTTACTGAGGTTGGCTGTGAACTTGCGATCCTCCTGCCTCAGCCTCCCAAGCTGCTGGGATTACAGGGGTGCACCCCTGCACCTGGCCTTGGTGTTCTAGCCAAGTCTGCAGGTCCTTTCAAGGTGGTCTGTTCTGATGGATGGCCCCTACCAGCATGAAGCCAAAAGATGACCTTACTCTGTAGGCCAGGCGACTGGGAAAGAAGGAGCCTTGTGTGTGGAAGTCTGCAAGGAGAGCGAGCCACCTAGCATGGCCCCGCCCAACCAGTCAGTAGAAGGCTTTCTCCAGGAGGCCTCCAACAGATCCCTGAACACCACGGAAACCCCGGAGGCCTGGGATTCAGGGATCCTACAGGCGCTCAAGATCTCCCTGGCCGTGGTCCTTTCCATCATCACGCTGGCCACCCTCCTGTCCAACGCCTTTGTACTGACCACCATCCTGCACACCAGAAAGCTGCACACCCCGGCCAACTATCTCATTGGCTCCCTGGCCACCACTGACCTCCTGGTTTCCATCTTGGTCATGCCCATCAGCATCGCCTATACCATTACCCGCACTTGGAACTTTGGCCAAATCCTGTGTGACATCTGGGTGTCTTCTGACATCACGTGCTGCACCGCCTCCATCCTGCACCTCTGCGTCATTGCTCTGGACCGGTACTGGGCCATCACYGACGCCCTGGAGTACAGTAAGCGCCGGACGGCTGGCCACGCGGCTGCCATGATCGCCGTGGTCTGGGTCATCTCCATCTGCATCTCCATCCCACCCCTCTTCTGGCGGCAGGCCAAGGCTCAGGAGGAGATGTCCGACTGCCTGGTGAACACGTCTCAGATCTCCTACACCATCTACTCCACCTGCGGGGCCTTCTACATCCCGTCCATCTTGCTCATCATCCTCTACGGCCGGATCTACCTGGCCGCCAGGAGCCGCATCCTGAACCCGCCCTCGCTCTATGGCAAGCGCTTCACCACKGCGCAGCTCATCACGGGCTCCGCGGGCTCCTCGCTCTGCTCGCTCAACCCCAGTCTCCACGAGGGCCACTCGCACGCGGCCGGCTCCCCGCTCTTCTTCAACCACGTGAAGGTCAGGCTCGCCGACAGCGTCCTGGAGCGCAAGAGGATTTCTGCTGCTCGGGAGAGGAAAGCCACCAAGACGCTGGGGATCATTCTGGGGGCCTTCATCGTCTGCTGGCTGCCCTTCTTCGTGGCCTCCTTGGTCCTCCCCATCTGCCGGGACGCCTGCTGGCTCCACCCCGCCCTCTTTGACTTCTTCACCTGGCTGGGCTATTTCAACTCGCTCATCAACCCCATCGTCTACACCGTGTTCAATGAAGACTTCCGCCACGCGTTCCAGAAAGTGGTCCACGTCCGAAGGGCCTCCGAGTCTCATTAGGTGGCGACTCTTGTTCAATCTTTGGGGTCCGGTGACTCCGTTGGGATTGTCTTTTAAACTTTTTTTTTTTTCCCTCCTCCCCTGGGACCTGGGTTGATTCATGATCTCTTGGGTCAATCAACAGAATTATTCTGAGTTCTATTTCCTGGGTCTTGACTTCTGAGCCACCCAAAGCTGGGCCACTGGGTGAAAGGGGAGAGGACTGAATGAAGACTTCCCCTGACCTCATATTTTCGTGGTTCTTCCGGGGTTGAAAGACACATGACCCACCGGATTCAGGTGAGAAACTCTCTGACTCTGTAGAAAAGACCCTGGGCTCAGAGGGAAGGCTTCCGTGTCYATCTGAAATTTGTTATGGGGGCTCAGTGAAGGATAAGATTAATGGCCTGAATTGAAAGAGAATTTGGAGCCAGGATGGAGGAGTCTCCATCCCCTGTAGCTTCTTGATTAGAAACCCATACCCAGGCTGGGCCCGGTGGCGTACACCTGTAGTCCCACCACTGGGGAGGCTGAGGCAGGAGGATCACAAGTTCAAAGTCAGCCTCAGCAATTTTAGTGATGCCCTGAGCAACATAGTGAGATCCTGTCTCAAAAAAAAAAAAAAAAAATTAAAGGGCTGGGGATGCAGCTTAGTGGTAAAGCACACCTAGGTTCAACCCCCACTACCAAAAAGAAAATAATGCCCAAGAATGTCTTCTACAACATCCTCCTTTCCCTGTCATCCATGAGTAGTCCAGTGACTTGGAGAGAAACTCAGAAGGTAGGGATAGGGGAATGGGATGATGGGGACTGGATTGACTACCCCTCAGCCTTCTTTCTCCCCCAATATCCCTGCCCCATGTTAATGTTCTGAGGTTGAAACTCCTGATCACTCCACTCAYGCAGATCAACAGGCTTTGGACCCACCACCATTCTCTGAGCAGAACAGCATTCTCATTTTTTTTCTGGATTCTTTTTTTTTTTTTACATCCTGTTCTCAATAGAGACCTTAAGATGTTGAGTCTTATTAAATAAAGAGCATGAGACATCATGACGTGTCAAGTCTTTGGATAATTTTCCCCACTCTGGATATAGAAACTGTCAACTCAATTCAGTTTTCAGCATTTACTGAGCACCCACCACATGCCAGGCCCTGTGCGCTGGTCTTGATATTTGGTCTATGAGTCTCATAGCAATGAGCAGCAGTATGGCATGACAATTGAGAACTCTGGATCTGGGGCTGGTGATGTGGCTCAGTGGTACAGCACTTGACTAGCATGTGTGAGGTCCTGGGTCCAATTCTCAGTAGCTACACACACACACCCCTCAGAACCTGAGGCCGGGGCTGGGGAAGTGGCTTGGGGCTGGGGATGTGGCTCAAGTGGTAGTGCGCTCGCCTGGCATGCATTCGGCCCGGGTTCGATCCTCAGCACCACATACAAACAAAGATGTTGTGTCCGCCGATAACTGAAAGATAAATATTAAAAGATTCTCTCTCTCTCTCTCTCTCTCTCTCTCTCTTAAAAAAGACGTTTAAAAAAAACAAAAAAACTGAGGCCTCAGTTCAAATCCAAGTGCTGGCAATTTCTAGCTGGGCAAACCTGGACCCATTTCTTAATCCCTCTTTACCTCATTTTCTGAAACTATAAAATAGGGATAAAAATAGTATGCATAAATTAATATAGTGCCTGGCGTGAGAGTGCTTGTCATTTTAGAGATATAGGAATCGACCTGCTCAAGGTCAGGCAGCAATGAAAGATAAGGYGGGGAAGAGGCCGTGAGGCCTCTGCGGGGACAAGGAACAAGGAACAAGGGGACAAGAAAACCAGGGATGGAGAAAAGAGCAGGAGCAGAGCTTGGAGACCTGTCACACTTGGTGGGACCCTGGGAGAAGAGTGAGAGCAAGAACATGGATGTCAGGAAGGGAGGGGCAGGCCTGGTGGGGAGCAGGTGTCTGCCCGGAGGACTCTTGTGCTGGCCTGAAGTTATGCTGGACAGGTCACAGTGTGTCCCTGGACCATCTGTCTGTTCCAGAATCTCCCACAGAGCTTGTTGACAGTGGATACCTGAATCAGAACCTCTGGCAGTGAGGCCCAAGAGTCCGCTGTTGATTTTTGAGACAGGGGTCTTGCTGTGTTCCCCAGGCTGGTCTTGAACTCCTGGGCTCAAGCAATCCTCCTACCTCAACCTCTCAGGTAGCTGGACCACAGGCACATGCCACCATGCATGCTAAGAGTCTGCTTTTAAATAAGCCTCTCCCACTTCCTGAGCTAGGTGACTGCTGTGTCTCTAAAGTTAGGGAACAACCGAGTTAGTGTGTTGGCCACCCTAAGGCCAGAGACACCTCTCAGCCCACTCTTCTCTATACCTGGCCTGGCTTCCCTATCTTCCTCTAAGCTTGGCTGGTCCCTTCCATTCTGCTTTAGGTCACCCTCCTAATCTGAGAAAGATCAGGAATTCAGAGAACAGACAAGTAATGGTGAACAGGATGGCTCATTGGCAAAGGGCGCCTGCTTTGATGTCAGGCATACCTGGGATTGCATACCAGTTCTGGAACTTATCGGCCTTGTGACCTAGGGAAAATCACCTAACTTCTCTGTGTGCTTCGGTTTCTTCATCTATTAAATGTGATTGTCAGTACATAACTCATCAGGCTTTTATGAAGATTAAATGAGGTAGTGGTTGCAAAGTTCTTTGTTCAGTAAAATGTCACCAGTTACTGTTTGAGAACTTTGAGCCAATTATAAAAAGAGAAGCTCAAATATCACCTCCTCAGAAGCTCTTCCTGACTAGACCAAAGGTTGAGAAAACAACTTCATCAAGATATAATTCACATGCCATACAGTCCATGAATTTAAAGTGCATTTAATGAGCTGGGTGTGGTAGTGCACACCTGTAATCCCAGTGACTTGGGAAGCTGAGGCAGGAGGATTGCAAGTTCTAGGCCAGCCTCAGCAACTTAGTGAGCCCTAAGCAACTTAGCAAGATCTTGTCTCAAAAGCAAAAATAAAAAAGAGCTGGGGATGTGGCTCAATGGGAAAGAACCCCCCCCCCCGGGTTCAATCCCCAGTGCTAAAAAAAAAAAAAAAGTACATTTAATTGTTGTGAGTGAATTCACAGAATTCTGCAACCATCATTACAGTTACCAATAGAACATTTTCATCAGCCATAAAGAAACCCTGCACTCTCCCAGCTATCACCCCCAGCCCTCCACACTCCCAGCCCCAGCAGCCTCACCCATTTCCAGTCTCTGTAGATTTCCCTAAGCTGGATATTCCCTATAAATRGACTCCTACGGTGAGTGATTTTTGTGTCTTGGCTTTCTTTACWCTAGTGGCTCATCCATAGTGTAGCACGTATCAGTATTACATTCCTTTTTAATGCTGTATAATATTCCACTGTATGGCCATTTTATTTATCCATTCATCAATTATGGACATTTGGATTGTTTCCACTTTGGGGCTACTATAAACAAGGCTATGAACATTCATGTACAACTTTTCATGTGGACATAAGTTTTTGTTCTCTTGGGTGTCTACTTAGGAATGGAATTGCTAGAACATACAACTCTATTTGCCCTTCTGGGGAAATGCCAGACTGCTTTCCAAAGTGTCTATACCAATTTGCCTTCCTATTAGCAGTATGTAAGGATTCCAGTTTGTCACCTCCTTACTGGAACTTGTCATCRCCTACTTATTTATTTACTTATTTTTGGTACTGGGGATTGAATTCAAGGGCACTTCACCACTGAGCTGTATCCGCACCCCAGCCATTTTGAGACAGGGTCCTGCTAAGTTGCCCAGGATGGCCTCCAACTTGCCTCAGCCTCCCGAGTCACTTAGTTTACAGACATGCACCACTGTACCCAGCTTGTCTTTAAAAATTTAAGAGCCGATGAACTGACCCTAGGGCTGGAGCCTCACATATCAGGAGATTGGTCAGGTAGGACTGGGCCAGGCAGGTGAGAGTGCGTGAGGCAAGAGGCTAGTGGCTGGCCAGCCCCAGTGTTCCAGAGGAATCAGCTGGGCTGGCYCCTTAGCCTGTCCTCAGCCCAGTCCTCTGTCCTTCAGATACCCTCCTCCTCCAGGCACTACACTCTGAGAGTCCAAGGAGAAGGACGCTTTCTGGTCTTGGTCATTATTACCATTCAACTGCAGGCTTGGCTCTCACTTCTGGAGAATTGCACTCATTAGGTCACATGAAGGTCAACTTAGAAATAAGTGTGTGGGATTGCGGACGTGGCTCAGTGGCAAAGAGCTTGCCTGGCACGTGTGAGGCCCTGGGTTCCAGCCCCAGTACTGCAAAACAAAACAAAACAAAACAAACTTCCCAAAACATGTTGCCCAGGGTCATAGAGGAAGCCTGAGTTGGGGACCTTTCTCTTCTTTGCGCTCCATCCCTGTGTCATAGATACACTCAGAGCTTGCCCGTGGTGATGCTGGGGGAGATAGGAACTCAGGACTCAGGACTMGGCTAATTTCTGTTATTGGCAAATATAGCAGACCTGCAGGGTACCCACCTCGCAGCCAATTCTATTCTTTGCTCACAGTTTATTTACTGGAAAAATTATTTATATATACTTTTTTTTTCCTTTGAGATGGGCTCTCACTGTGTGGCCTAGGTTGGCCTTGAACTCCTGGGTTCAAGYGGGCTTCAACCTCCTTGAAGTAGCTGGGTACGTAGCCCTGTCTCCAGCTTCCCAGGCCAGTTGAAATGGCAATGAGGCTGGGCATGGTGGGGCATTCCTATAATCCCAGCAACTCAGGAGGCTGAGACAGGAGGATCACAAGTTTGAGGCCAGCCTCAGACACATAGCAAGACCCAGTCTCAAAATAAAAAATAAAAAGAGCTGAAGATGTGGCTCTATGGTAAAACCCCTCTGGGTTCAATCCCCAGTACCAAAAAATAATAAASAAATAGCAATGGGCTCTGCCTTCCAGAATGTGAATCCTGAAGTTTGAATATCTGGGCACCATTGACACAGCCCTCCTGCTCTCACCACAGTCTCACGTGCCACTCTG